GGGGGATCGGGGGGATACGGGGGGATCGGGGGGACACGGGGGGATCGTGGGGATACGGGGGGATCGGGGTGATCGGGGGGACACGGGGGGATCGGGGGGACACGGGGGATCGGGGATAGCGGGGGACACGGGGGGACACGGGGGGACACGGGGGGATCGGGGGGACACGGGGGGTTCGGGGGGATCGGGGGGACACGGGGATAGCGGGGGACACGGGGGGACACGGGGGACACGGGGGGACACGGGGATCGTGGGGGACACGGGGGGATCGGGGGGGATCGCGGGGGGCTTTTAGGGGACGTGGGAAGGGGGCTCGGGGGGGGTCGGGGCGGTTCGGGGGTGAGGTTGGGGCGTTTTCAGAACGGTTCGGGGAGTTTTGGGAGGGTTTCGAGGTGGTTTTTGGGGGGGTCGGGGGGTCCCGGGGGTATTTTGGGGTCTGGGGAGGGATTTGAGGTGGTTTTGAGATGATTTTGGGGTGGCTTGGGGAGGGTTTTGAGGTGTTTTTGGGGTGGTTTGCGGGACCTCGGGAAGGTTTTGGGGTACCTCGGGGGGGTTTGCGGGGGTCGGGTGGTGCCGCGGGTATTTGGGGGGGTCCCGGGGGTGTTTTGGGGTGTTTTGGGGGCGGTTTCGGGGTCCCCCCGCACTCACAAGATGTTGAAGCGCAGCAGCTGCACGGCCAGGCTCTCACACAGCCCCTCCACCGCGAACTTGGAGGCCGAGTAGATGTCGTTGAAAGCCACCCCTGGGGGGCACGGGGGGGGTCGGGGGGCGCCCCAAAATTTGGGAGGGTCGGGGGGCTTCGGGGGGGCCCAAAACCCCCCAAAATTGGGGGGCTGGGAGGGGTTGAGGGGCTTCGGGGGGGGAATTTGGGGGTCCCGGGGGTTCAGTGACCCCAGGGTTGATTTGAGGGTCCCGGGGGTGACCCGGGGAGTCCCAGGGGGTGGGATTTTGGGGGGTCCCGGGGGTTCAGTGACCCCAGGGTTGATTTGAGGGTCCCGGGGGTGACCCGGGGAGTCCCAGGGGGGGGGATTTTGGGGGGGCCCCCTCACCCTGCAGCCTCTGTGAAGATTGGGGGTGACTTGGGGGTCCCGGGGGGATTTGGGGGTCCCTGTGAGGATTGGGAGTCCCTGGGGGTTCAGCGGTCCTGGGGGTGACCCGGGGAGTCACGGGGGTGGGATCTGGTGGCTTTCCCTCACTGTGTAGCCACTGAGAGGATTTGGGGGTCCCTGTGAGAACTCGGGGGCCCGGGGGGGGGAATTTGGGGGTCCCGGGGGTTCAGTGACGCCGGGGTTGATTTGAGGGTCCCAGGGGTGTTTTGGGGGTCCCGGGGGGTCCCCGGGGGTGGGATTGGGGGGTGCCCTCACCCTGCAGCCCCTGTGAAGGTTGGGGGTCTCTGGGGAGGATTGGGAGTCCGGGGCGGGGGTCAGAGGTCCCGGGGGTGTTTTGGGGGTCCCGGGGGTGTTTTGGGGGTCCCCGGGGGTGGGACTGGGGGGTGCCCTCACCCTGCAGCCCCATGACGCTGCTGACCACCACGATGTGGCCGCTCCGGCGCTGCTTCATCTGCGGCAGCAGCGCCTGGATGAGCCGCAGGACCCCGAACACGTTGGTGTCGAACACCCGCTGGATCTGCGGCCCCGTCGCCGCCTCCAGGGGCCCCACGAGCCCCACCCCGGCGTTGTTCACTTGGGGGGGGGGAGAGGGGGGGTCAGGGACCCCCGAACGTCCCCAAAAACCCTGTAAAAACTCGGCCAAACCTACCCAGAATCCCCCCGAAATTCGCCGAAACCCCCCCCCGAAAATCGCCCCACCGGCCCCACCCCGGCGTCGTTCACTGGGGAGGGGGGGCAAGAGGGGGGTCGGAGACCCCCAAATGTCCCCAAATACCCCCGAAACCCCATCAAAACTCAGCAAAACCCGCCCAGAATCCCCCCAAAATCTCCCCCCAAATCCACTCAAAACCCACCCAAAACCCACCCAAAGTCCCCCCCAAAATCTGCCCCGTGGGACTCAGAGACCCCCCAAAACCCCCCCCAAAACCCCTCCTGGGGCTCCGGGACCCCCCAAAACCCCCCAACCCCCCCCTGCTGTTCAGAGACCCCCCCAAAATCCACCCCCTGCCTGACTCCAGGAAACCCCCAAAAACCCCCAAACCCCCCCCCCCGCTGTTCGGGGACCCCCCCAATCACACGGAGGGGGGTCCCAGAGCCCCCCCGAACTCACCCACCACGTCCACGCGCCCCCCCGGGACCCCCCCCAGGCACTCGGCCACGGAGCTGTCGCTGGTCACGTCGAGCCGCAGGATCCGAAGGGTCTCCCCGAGGGTCTCCCCGGCCGCCGCCTCCAGGGGACCCCTCCGGGACAGGTCCCGCATGGTGGCCACCACTGGGGACCCCAAAATCCATCAGGGACCCCCCAAATCCATCAGGGACCCCCCCAAATCCATCAGGGACCCCCCGAACCCCTCCGGGACAGGTCCCGCATGGTGGCCACCACTGGGGACCCCAAAATCCATCAGGGACCCCCCCCAACCCATCAGGGACCCCCGAAATCCACCAGAGACCCCCCCCCAAACCCGCAGATCCCAAACCTTCCCCCACCCCATCCCAAGGACCCCGAATCTTCCTCCCCTTCCCAGGAGACTCTGGGGACCCCAAACCCGTCCCGGGGTTGTTCTGAGGACCCCAAATCTTTCCCTCTCCCCTTCCGGGGGACCCCAAACCTTCCCCTCCTGCCCCGGGGACCCCCGAACTCACCCCGGTCCCGTTTTTGGGGCCAGTTTTGGGGGCAGTTTTTGGGTCAGTTTTAGGGTCTCCCCCCCACTCACCCTGGTACCGTTTTTGGGGTCAGTTTTGGGGCAGTTTTAGGGTCAGTTTTGGGGTCAGTTTTCGGGTCTCCCCCCCCCCCACTCACCCTGGTACCGTTTCTGGGGTCAGTTTTGGGGCAGTTTTAGGGTCAGTTTTAGGGTCAGGTTTAGGGTCCCCCCCCCCCTCACCCTGGTACCGTTTTTGGGGTCAGTTTTGGGGTCAGTTTTGGGGCAGTTTTGGGGGCAGTTTTGGGGGCAGTTTTGGGGCAGTTTTGGGGTCAGTTTTGGGGTCAGGTTTAGGGTCAGTTTTGCCCCCCCCCACTCACCCTGGTACCGTCTCTGGGGTCAGTTTTGGGTCAGTTTTGGGTCAGTTTTGGGTCAGTTTTAGGGTCAGTTTTGGGGTCAGCTTTAGGGTCAGTTTGGGGTCAGTTTTGGGGTCAGTTTGGGGTCAGTTTTAGGGTCAGTTTTGGGTCAGTTTTAGGGTCAGTTTGGGGTCAGTTTTGGGGTCAGTTTTGGGGCAGTTTTGGGGCAGTTTTAGGGTCAGTTTTGGGTCAGTTTTAGGGTCAGTTTTGGGGTCAGGTTTAGGGTCTCCCCCCACTCACCCTGGTACCGTTTTTGGGGTCAGTTTGGGGTCAGTTTTGGGGTCAGTTTTGGGTCTGTTTGGGGTCAGTTTGGGGTCAGTTTGGGGTCAGTTTTGGGTCAGTTTTGGGGTCAGTTTGGGGTCAGTTTTAGGGTCAGTTTTAGGGTCAGGTTTAGGGTCAGGTTTAGGGCCCCCCCCACTCACCCTGGTACCGTCTCTGGGGGTCCCTGGCGAGCTGCACGGCCACGGCCAGGCCGATGCCGGAGGAGCAGCCGGTGACCAGCACCGTGCGGGGCGGGGGGGCGGCCATGGCTGAGCCCCCCCGGCCCCAAATCCCCCCCCGGGCCCCCCCAAATCCCCCACGGGACGGGCAAAGGCTCTTACGGGATCAGCGCCTCACGTGGGATCGGGATCAGCCGCCCGGGCGGGGGGGGGGACACGGGGGGGGCACCTGGAGGGGGGGGGAAAACATCCCTGGGGACCCCCCCGGCGGGTTGGGGGGTCTCAGAGGTGCGGCCCCCCCGCATTTGGGGTCCCCAAACCTTCTCCCCCCCCCCGTCCAGGGCGATTTGGGGACACCCCCCCCTCACCTGGGACAGACACGGGGGGGGCACCTGGGGGGGGGACACCTTTGGGGACCCCCCCAACCTGCCCGGGGGTCCCCAGGGGTGCAGCCCCCCCTCATTGAGGGACCCCAAACCTTCCCCCTCCCTGTCCAGAGCAATTTTGGGACCCCCCCTCACCTGCCCGGAAGGGGGGGGGGAGCACCTGGAGGGGAGGGGTCACACCCCTGGTGACCCCCCCGACCTGTCCGGGGCTCCCCAGAGGCGCAGCCCCCCCTCCTTTAGGTCTTTAGGGGGGTCTTTTGGGCACTCCCAGAAGGCTCTTTTGGGGTTTTTTGGGGGGGGGGTCCCCAAAGGGTCTTTTGGGGGGTCTTTTTGGGGGGGTCCCAGGAGGGTCCCAAAACGGTCTTTTGGGGCGACCCAGGAGGGTCCAAGGGGGGGTCTCATGAGGGGTCTTTTGGGGGGTCCTGGAAGGGTCCGGGGGGGTCTTTTTGGAGGGTCCCAAAAGGGTCTTTTTAGGGGTCCCGGAGGGGGTCCCAGAAGGGGCTTTTGGGGGGTCCCGGGGGGTCTTTGGGGGGGGCGGAACCAAAAGGGGCGGAACCCGCGGGGGGGGAAGGCGGCGGAGCCGGAAGCGGCCGGAAGTGACGCCACCCGGAAGTGGCGCCGAGCACGTGGCAGGGATGGGGCGGCCCGGGAAGGTCCGGGGGGCGAAAATGGGGCAAAAAGGGGCAAAAAGGGGCAAAAACGGGGGGAAAGGCCGCGGAAAGTGAGGGGGTGGGAGAGGGAGAGGGGAGGGGGCGGCGGGGAATGGAGGGGAGGAGAAGGGGGGAAATGGGGCGAAATTGGGTAAAAATGGGGCGAAAATTGGGCAAAACTGGGGGAATTTGGGGTGAGAATGGGGGGGCGGCGGGGGGTGGGGGGGATGGGGTGGGGGGGAGGGGGCGGTGGTAGCGGGGAATGGGGGGGGACGGGAGAAATGAGGGCAAAAATGGGGTAAAAATGAGGAAATTTGGGGGGAAATGGGGACGGGGGGGGGCGGTTTATCCCAAAATTTGGGGGTTCCGGGCGCTCCGGGGGGGGTTGGAGGGGTTGGGGGGGTCCCGGTTGCACCGTGGGGGGGGGTACGGGAGGTGAAGGTCCCGGATGTCCCAAAATTCGGGATTTCCAGCCCTTCTGGGCTCCCAAAAAGCGGCGACTGGGAGCCCGAATGTCCCGAAATTTGGGGTCTCGCCCCCCCTTTCCCCCCCCTTTCCCCCCCCAGAGCCGCCACCAGCGGCGGGAACGCGCCGTGGCGCGGGAGCGCGCGGAGCGCGAGTTCGGCACCGTCCCGCACTCGTTCGTGTTCCCGCGGGGCAGAGTCGGGAGGAGCCTGCGGGGGCTCGGGCAGGACCTGCGGAGGGTCATGGAGCCCTACACGGCCCGCGCGCTGCAGGTCGGGGGCTGGGGGGCCACTTTCATTTGGACTCTGTTTTTATTTTATTTGTTTGTATTTATTTTATTTATTTGTATTTATTTTATTTATTTTTATTTATTTTATTTATTTTTATTTATTTTATTTATTTTATTTATTTTATTTATTTTATTTATTTTATTTGTTTGTATTTATTTTATTTGTTTGTATTTATTTTATTTATTTTTATTTATTTTATTTATTTTTATTTATTTTAATTATTTTTAATTATCTTATTTATTTTTTATTTTATTTATTTATACTTTCTATTTTTAATTTTATTTATTTTTGTTCTACTTTAATTTTCGTATTTTTATTTTTAAATTTATTTATATTTCGATTTTTAAATTTTATTTATTTTTATACTATTTTAATTTTTGTATTTTTATTTTTTAATTTTTATTTATATTCTTTAATTTATTTTTGTTATTTTTAATTTTTATTTATATTCTTTTATTTATTTTTTGTTAATTTTTTTTATTTTTATTATTCTTATTTATATTTCTAATTTTTTAATTTATTTTTTTATTACCATTCTTATTATATTTATTATTTTTGTTTATTTTTAATCTTATTTTTAACCTTATTTTTATTTTTAATCTTATTTTTACTTTATTTTTTATTTTATTTTTATTTTTTAAATTATTTTATTTTTATTTTCTAATTTTTTATTTTATTTTTATTTTTATTAGTTTATTTTTTGTTTTTTTTATTAACCCTATTTTTAATTATTTTTTATTGCTTTTATTTATATTTTTACTTTTTAATTTTTATTTTGATTTTTATTTTCTATCAGGTTTGTGTTCATTTATTTTTATTTGTTTCCATTTGGGTTTCCAGGTCCGGAAGAACAATTCCCTGCAGGATTTTTATTTTTTATGGGATTTATATTTATTTATTTGTTTCCAATCTGGATTCCCCAGGTCCGGAAGAACAATTCCCTGTGGGATTTTTATTTTCTGTGGGGTTTATATTTATTTATTTGGTTTTAATTTGGGTTCCCAGGTCCGAAAGAACAATTCCCTGTGGGATTTTTATTTTCTGTGGGGTTTATATTTATTTATTTGTTTCCAATCTGGATTTCCCAGGTCCGGAAGAACAATTCCCTGTGGGATTTTTATTTTTTATGGGGTTTATATTTATTTATTTGTTTCCATTTGCATTCCCAGGTCCGGAAGAACAATTCCCTGTGGGATTTTTATTTTCTGTGGGGTTTATGTTCATTTATTGTTATTTGGTTTTAATTTGGGTTCCCAGGTCCGGAAGAACAATTCCCTGTGGGATTTTTATTTTCTGTGGGGTTTATATTTATTTATTTGTTTTTAATTTGGGTTCCCAGGTCCGGAAGAACAATTCCCTGCAGGATTTTTATTTTCTGTGGGGTTTATATTTATTTATTTGGTTTTCATTTGGGTTCCCAGGTCCGGAAGAACAATTCCCTGCAGGATTTTTATTTTCTGTGGGGTTTATATTTATTTATTTGTTTTTAATTTGGGTTCCCAGGTCCGGAAGAACAATTCCCTGCAGGATTTTCATTTTTTATGGGGTTTATATTTATTTATTTGTTTCCATTTGCATTCCCAGGTCCGGAAGAACAATTCCCTGTGGGATTTTCATTTTTTATGGGGTTTATATTTATTTATTTGTTTCCATTTGCATTCCCAGGTCCGGAAGAACAATTCCCTGCGGGACCTGGTGGCCGTGGCCGGGCCTTTGGGGGTCTCCCATTTCCTGGTGCTCAGCAAGACCCCCACCAGCATCAACCTGGTCAGTGGGGGGACCCCACAAAATCTGGGGGGTCTGGGGTCATCTTGGGGGGTCTGGGGTCATTTTGGGGGGGTCCAGGATCATTTTTGGGGGTCCAGGATCATTTTTGGGGGGTCCAAGATCATTTTTGGGGGTCCAGGATCATTTTTGGAGGGTCCAGGATCATTTCTGGGGGGTCCTGGCTCAGTTTGGGGGTCCCAGAACATTCTGGGGAATCCTGGCTCCTTTTGGGGGGGGGTCTTGGCTCATTTTTGGGGGGGTCCTGGATCATTTTGGGAGGGGTCTTGGATCATTTCTGGGGGGTCCTGGCCCAGTTTAGGGGGTCCAGGATCATTTTGGGGGGGTCCTGGATCATTTTGGGAGGGGTCTTGGATCATTTTTGGGGGGGTCCTGGATCATTTTAGGGGGTCCTGGGTCATCTTGGGGGGATCCTGGCCCAGTTTGGGGGGTCCAGGATCATTTTAGGCGGCTCTTGGCACAGTTTTGGGGGGGTCCTGGTTCATTTCTGGGGGGTCCTGGATCATTTGGGGGGGGTCTTGGCTGATTTTGGGGTGTCCTGGCTGATTTTGGGGGCTCCCAGGGGATGTGTCCCCCCCCCAGACTCAAATGATGAAAGGATTTGGGCTGAATTGGGGCCGTTTTGGGGCCGTGATGCTCCAAAGTAAACGCTCTGATGGGTCGGGGGGGGTCCCGGGGGGGATTTGGGGGGTCCCAGGGATTGGGGGGGGGCTCCAGATTCCCAAAATTCCCTGGAATTGAAGCTTTTCCTCCCCCTTCTCCCCCCCCCAGAAGCTTTTCCGGCTCCCAGGGGGTCCCACCCTGACCTTCAAAGTGCTGCAGGTGGGGCTGGGGGGGTTTTGGGGGGGTCTTGGGGGGACTTTGGGGGGTCTCAGGGGGGGTTTTGGGGGGGTCTTTGTACCCCTGACCCCCCCCAGCATTCCCTGGTCCGGGACTGGGGGGGTCTGGGGGGGATTTTAGGGGGGTTTGAGGTATTTTTGGGATGGTTTTGAGGTGTTTTCAGGGGGATTTTTTTTGGGGGGGGTTTGGGGTGTTTTGAGGGCATTTTTGGGGGGGGTTTTAGGGATGTTTTTGAGGTGTTTTAGGGGTTTTTTTAGGGTATTTGGGGGTGGTTTTCCCTCCTTTTCCCCTTCCCAGTGTTCCCTGATCCGGGACATGCTCTCAGCGCTCCAGAGGCACGAGCAGCTTTGGGGGATTTGGGGCTGGTTTTAGGGTTTTTTTAGGGTATTTTAGGGTATTTTGGGGGTATTTTGAGGGTATTTTGGGGGTATTTTGAGGGCATTTTGGGGTGATTTCCCCCCTTTCCCCTTCCCAGTATTCCCTGATCCGGGACGTGGTCTCTGCTCTCCGGAGGCACGAGCAGCTTTGGGGGGTTTGGGGCTGGTTTTAGGGTTTTTTTAGGGTATTTTAGGGTATTTTGGGGGTATTTTGAGGGTATTTTGGGGGTATTTTGAGGGTATTTTGGGGTGATTTCCCCCCTTTCCCCCTTCCCAGTATTCCCTGATCCGGGACGTGGTCTCTGCTCTCCGGAGGCACGAGCAGCTTTGGGGGGTTTGGGGCTGGTTTTAGGGGGTTTTTTAGGGTATTTTATGGGTATTTTGGGGTGATTTCCCCCCTTTCCCCTTCCCAGTATTCCCTGATCCGGGACGTGGTCTCTGCTCTCCGGAGGCACCGGATGCACGAGCAGCAGTTCTCCCACCCCCCTCTCCTGGTGCTCAGCAACTTCGGGCTCCCCCAGATCCACGTCAAGCTCATGGCCGGGATGTTCCAGGGGATGTTCCCGGCCCTCAACGTCCACAGGGGCCGTGGGGAACCCGGGAATTCGGGAATGCTGGGGGGGGGGGGGGCGGCTCTGGAATCTTCCCTGTTCCTTCTTCCCCTTCCTTTTCCTTCTCTTCCCCATTTTTTTTCTCTTTCCTCTTTCTCTTTCCTTCCCTTCCCTTTTTCTCCCTTCCCTTTTTCTCCCTTCCCTTTTTCTCCCTTCCCTTTTTCTCCCTTCCCTTTTCCTCCTCTTTCCTTTTACTCTTCTTCCTTTTCCCTGCTCTTTTTCTTCTCTTTCTCCTTCCCTTTTCCTTCTCCTTTCCCTTTTCCTTTTTTCATTTTCATTCTCCTTCTCTGTTCCCTTTTCCTTCCCTTCCCTTCTCTTTCCCTTCTCATTTCCATCCTTCCCTTCCCTTCCCAAACCTTCCCTTCCTTTCCCAAACCAAACCTTCCCAAACGTTCCCTTCCCTGCTGTCCTTGTCCCATTCCCATTATCCCGTTCCCATTATCCCATTCCCATTATCCCGTTCCCTGTCCCATTCCCATTATCCCATTGTCCCATTCCCTGTCCCATTCCCATTATCCCATTCTCCCGTTCCCTGTCCCATTCCCATTGTCCCATTCTCCCGTTCCCTCTCCAGGTCAATCTCAACTCCATCCGTCGCTGTTTGCTCCTCACCTTCGACTCGGAGTCGCAGCTCCTGGAATTCCGGCACTAGTGAGCCCCTTCCCCCGGATCCCCCCATCCCCATTGTCCCAATCCCGTTATCCCATCCCCCTTATCCCATCCCCATTATCCCATTCCCATTGTCCCAATCCCGTTATCCCATTCCCATTGTCCCGTTCCCATTGTCCCAATCCCGTTATCCCATCCCCATTGTCCCATCCCCATTATCCCATCCCCATTGTCCCAATCCCGTTATCCCATCCCCATTATCCCATTCCCATTGTCCCAATCCCGTTATCCCAATCCCATTGTCCCAATCCCACTGTCCCAATCCCACTGTCCTAATCCCATTGTCCCTATCCCGTTGTCCCACTCCCGTTCCCAGCAGTGTGAAGGTGGTTCCCGTGGGGGTCAGTCGGGGGCTCCGGAAGCTTCTCCAGGAGAAATTCCCGAACCTCAGTCGGCTCCAGGACGTCAGTGACCTGCTCCTGGGGTGAGGGGGGACATGGGGGGACATTGGGGACCCCCAGGACGTCAGTGACCTGCTCCTGGGGTGAGGGGGGACATGGGGGGACATTGGGGACCCCCAGGACGTCAGTGACCTGCTCCTGGGGTGAGGGGGGACATTGGGGACATGGGGGGGATGTTGGGGACAGGGGGGGGACATTGGGGAGGGGACACCGGATGGGGGGGGGACACGGGACAGGGAGAAACAGGGGACACGTGAAGGGGGGGCATTTGGGAATGGGGGTGACACAGGGACACTGTGGTGACTCCGGTGACCCTGTGGTGACCCCGTGTGACCCCGGTGACCCCGTCCCTGTCCCCAGGGAGGTGGCCCTGTCGGAGAGCGAGGCCGAGCAGGGAGGGGACATGGGGGTGACACAGGGACACTGTGGTGACCCTGGTGACACTGTGATGACCCTGGTGACCCTGTGATGACCCTGGGGACACTGTGGTGACCCTGTGTGACCCCGGTGACCCCGGTGACCCCGGTGACCCCGTCCCTGTCCCCAGGGAGGTGGCCCTGTCGGAGAGCGAGGCCGAGCAGGGAGGGGACATGGGGGTGACACAGGGACACTGTGGTGACCCTGGGGACACTGTGGTGACCCTGGGGACCCTGTGATGACCCTGGGGACACTGTGGTGACCCTGTGTGACCCTGGTGACCCTGGTGACCCCGTCCCTGTCCCCAGGGAGGTGGCCCTGTCGGAGAGCGAGGCCGAGCAGGACGGGACCCACAACGTGCTGGAGCTGCCCCAGGACTGCGCCGGGAGGGGCAACCAGGGGGGCCAGCAGAGCGCTGTGAGGCTGACTGAGGTGACACTGGGGACACTGGGGACACTGGGGACATTGGGGACATCCTGGGGACATTGGGGACACCAGGGGGGCCAGCAGAGCGCTGTGAGGCTGACTGAGGTGACACTGGGGACACTGGGGACATTGGGGACATCCTGGGGACACTGAGGTGACATTGGGGACATCCTGGGGACACTGGGGACACCAGGGGGGCCAGCAGAGCGCTGTGAGGCTGACTGAGGTGACACTGGGGACACTGGGGACATTGGGGACATCCTGGGGACACTGAGGTGACATTGGGGACATCCTGGGGACACTGGGGACACCAGGGGGGCCAGCAGAGCGCTGTGAGGCTGACTGAGGTGACACTGGGGACACTGGGGACATCCTGGGGACATTGGGGACATCCTGGGGACATTGGGGACACTGAGGGGACATAGGGGACACCAGGGGGGCCAGCAGAGCGCTGTGAGGCTGACTGAGGTGACACTGGGGACACTGGGGACATTGGGGACACTGAGGTGACACTGGGGACATCCTGGGGACATTGGGGACACTGAGGGGACATTGGGGACACTGAGGGGACATTAAGGACACGAGGGCCGGGTGCCAGGTGCCCCCAGGGCTCCCTGACGTCCCCCCTGTCCCCCCTGTCCCCAGATCGGGCCTCGCCTGACGCTGCAGTTGGTGAAGGTGGAGGAGGGGCTGGGCCAGGGCAGCGTCCTGTACCACGGGCTGGGTGAGTGACACACCTGGGGACACACCTGGGGACAGCTGGGGACACCTGGGACACCTGGGGACACACCTGGGACACAGCTGGGGACACACCTGGGGACACCGGGGACACCTGGGACACACCTGGGGACACAGCTGGGCATGGGGACACAGCTGGGCTGGGCCAGGGCAGTGTCGTGTACCACGGGCTGGGTGAGTGACACACCTGGGGGGACACCGGGGACACCTGGGACACACCTGGGGACACAGCTGGGCATGGGGACACAGCTGGGCTGGGCCAGGGCAGTGTCGTGTACCACGGGCTGGGTGAGTGACACACCTGGGGACACCTGGGACACCTGGGGACACACCTGGGACACACCTGGGACACACCTGGGGACACCTGGGGACACACCTGGGACACACCTGGGGACACCTGGGACACACCTGGGACACACCTGGGCATGGGGACGCACCTGGGGACACACCTGGGCATGGGGACGCACCTGGGGACACACCTGGGACACACCTGGGACACCTGGGGACACTCACCTGGGTGTGGGGACACCCCTGGGTTGGGCTGGGTGAGTGACACACCTGGGGGGTCTCACGGCACAGTTTGGGGTCTCACCTGTACCCAGGGGGTCTCACCTGTCCCCTGAGGGTCTCACCTGTCCCCGGGGGTCTCACCTGTCCCCTGAGGGTCTCACCTGTCCCCGGGGGTCTCACCTGTCCCAGTGCACAGGTCGGAGGAGGAGCTGCAGCGGCTGCAGCAGCGCCGGGAGCAGAAGCTGCAGCTCAAGGCCCAGCGGAGGCGGAAACAGGAGCAGGACCTGGAGAGGAAACGGCACCTGAGGCACCTGAACAGGTGAGGGGGACACAGGTGACACTCCCAGGTGAGGGCAGGACAAGGTGACACTCCCAGGTGTCACAGGTGACACTCCCAGGTGAGGGCAGCGCTGGGATCAAACCTCACCTGTCCCCCCTCACCTGTCCCCCCCTCATCTGTCCTCCATCCTGTCCCCTCACCTGTCCCCTCTCACCTGTCCCTCACCTGTCCCCTCTCACCTGTCCCCTCTCACCTGTCCCTCACCTTTCTCCCTTCACCTGTGCCCTCACTTGTCCCCCCTCACCTGTCCCTCACCTGTCCCCCCTCACCTGTGCCCTCTCACCTGTCCCTCACCTGTCCCCCCTCACCTGTCCCCTCTCACCTGTCCCCTCACCTGTCCCTGTCCCCCCCAGGGAGCGCAGCCTGGCCGGGATGCGACGCCGGCAGGGCCAGGCCGGGACAGGTGACGGTGCCAGGACAGGTGACAAGGAGGGTGACAGCGACGTCGAGGACCCCGGCGCACCTGAGCCAGGTGTGGCCACGCCCTCGGAGGACGAGGACGACGCCGAGTACTACAGACAGGAGGTGGGGGAGGAGCCCGACACAGGTGAGTTTGGGGGGGACAGGTGAGTTTGGGGGGGACAGGTGAGTTTGGGAGGGGACAGGTGAGTTTGGGGGGGACAGGTGAATTTGGGGGGAGTTTGGGGAGTTACAGGTGAGTTTGGGGGGTGGGACTGACCCCCCTTTTCCCTCTGGAGGTGGTTGATGACACCAAAAAATTCCTGAATTTCCATGAGTTTGGTTCAAAGTAAACGCTCTGACACCTCCGGAACGGCCCCGAAAGTGCCCCTTTTCACCCCAAAATTGTCCTCTTTCACCCCAAAATTGTCCTCTTTTCACCCCAAAACTTGTCCCTTTTCACCTTTTTTCGCCCTTTTCTCCCCAGATTTGTTCCCCACCAAGAGGAAACGAAGCCCCTCGGGCGCTTCCCGACCCCGGAAACGGCGGAGGCAGAGCCGGGAGACCCCGAAATCCCACCCAAACACCCCCAAATCCCACAGAAACAACCCCAAATCCCACCCAAACACCCCCAAATCCCACAGAAACAACCCCAAATCCCACCCAGGACACCCCAAATCCCACAGAAACACCCCCAAATCCCACCCAAACAACCCCAAATCCCACCCAGGACATCCCAAATCCCACAAAACCACCCCAAAATCCCACCTGGGGACCCCCAAATCCCACCCAGGGACCCCAAAATCCCACCCAAAAAAACCCAAATCCCACAAAAACACCCCTAAATCCCACCCGGGACCCCCCAGATCCCACCCAAAGAACCCCAAGTGCCACAACCCCCCCCCAAAATCCCGCCCAGGACCCCCCAAATCCCATAAAACCCCCCCAAAATCCCATAACCCCCCCCCAAAATCCCACCCCAGGCCGAAGGTTCGGGGGCAGCTCCTGGGGAGGAGGAAAACCGGGATTTTCCAACGTCCTGGAAGGGCCAGAAAGGGGAAAAAATAAAAAAGGAGGTGGGAATGGGGACCCCCCCGAATCCCATTTCCAGGGGGAAGGGAATTTGGGGTCCTGGGTTTGGGACCTCCCGGATTTGAGGGGATCTTCCTGGAAATTGGGGGGTTCTCCCTGGATTTTGGGGTTCAGGGCCCTTCCCAAATAAAGGATGGAAAAACCCCTCCAGGTATGTCCGGTGTGTGATATTTTGGGGTCCCTTTGGGGGGGAATTTCGGGGTGTTTTGGGTCCCTTTGGGGTATTTGGGGGGTATTTTGGGGTCTCTTTTTTAGGGGTATTTTGAGTGTCTTTGGGGGTATTTTAGGGGTTCTCGGGGGGGTGTGTTGGGGTATTTTAGTGCCCCTTTGGGCTATTTGGAGATGTTTTGGGGCTGTTCGGGGCTGTTTTGGGGCTGTTTTGGGGCTATTTCGGGTCCCTCCGCGGGGTCAAAGGTCGCGCCCCCCTCCCCGCTCCACCCACCCAACCAATCACACCCCTCAACCTTCCCCCTCGCCCCGCCGCACCCAATCACCAGCTCGGACACAAACAACCCCCGCCCCCCCTCAGACTCTCCCAATCACACGCTCCGACACATCCCCCCCTCAGAGCCCTCCTCCAATGGGGAGGCGCGTTGCTGGGGGGTTTGCCCGGCGGGTGGCGGCGGCGGCGGGGCCAAGATGGCGGCGGCGGTGTCGGGGAGCGGGCCCGGAGCGGGGCCCGGGCGGGAGCCCCGAGCGGCGCCCGAGGAAGGGCCGGCGGGGCCCGGGCGGGAGCCCCGAGCGGGGCCCGAAGAGCCGCCGGCGGGGCCCGGGCGCGCCCCCGAGGAGGAGCTGCCGCCGCTCCCCCCCGCCGAGGTGCGGAGCCGCCTGGAGCGCAGCGCGAGGCAGTTCCGCAACCGGCGGAAGGTGCTGATCAGGGGGTTACCGCCCGACGTGACCAACCAGGTGAGCGGGAGCGGGATCGGGACAGGGGGAGATCGGGACTGGGATCGAGGCTGGAGCTTTTCCCTGCGACCCCAATTCCCTTTTCCCCCCCCACCGAAATTCGTGGGAATTTTTCCTGGTTTTCCAGGAGGTCCACGACCTGCTGAGTGACTACGAGCTCAAGTATTGCTTCGTGGACAAGTACAAAGGAACGGGTGAGGAACAGCCCCTGGGATTCCGGGATCAGCCCCAGCATCAGCCCCTGGAGCTCCGGGATCAGCCCCTGGGATTCCAGGATCAGCCCCAGCATCAGCCCCTGGAATTCCGGGATCAGCCCCTGGAGCTCCGGGATCAGCCCCTGGAATCAGCCCCCAGCTGACGGGGTCCCTTGGGAAAGGGAACAACCCGGGATGCTTCTCCAAGCCCCCCTTTTCCCAGGGGTCCTTTCCTTTCCCAACCCCCCTTTTCCCAGCGACCCCTTCCCTTCCCAACCCCCTTTCCCTTTCCCCCCTCATCCCTTTTTCCCTCATTCCCAGCCTTCGTGACCCTGCTGATGGCCGACCAGGCCGACTCCGCCATCCCTCTCTCATCCCTTTTCCCATTTTTCCCTGTTTTTCCCATTCCCAGCCTTCGTGACCCTGCTGACGGCCGACCAGGCTGACTCAGCCATCCTTTATTCCCTGTTTTTCCCTGTTTTTCCCTCATTCCCAGCCTTCGTGACCCTGCTGACGGCCGACCAGGCCGACTCCGCCGTGCGTCGCTTCCACGGCTCCCGGCTGCGGGATCGGGAGCTGCGGGTGCAGCTGCAGCCCCCGGACTCGCTGCTGTGCGTGGCCAACCTGCCGCGGCTGCTGTCGCAGCAGCACTTCGAGGAGCTGGTGCGGCCCTTCGGGAACGTGGAGCGCTGTTTCCTGGTGTACAGCGAGCGGACGGGCCATTCCAAAGGGTACGGGTTCGTGGAGTACATGAAGAAGGACTCGGCGGCCCGGGCCAAGTCGGCGCTGCTGGGCCGGCGCCTGGGCACCAGGAGCCTCTTCGTGCACTGGGTGGAGTCGGCCCAGCCCGGCCCGGAGCTGCTCCACTCCCGCTGCCTCTGCGTGGAGAAGCTGCCCCACAACTTCAGCGACCTGGACAGGCTGCGAGGGGTCTTCGGGGCCATCCGGGAGCCCACCTTCTGTCAGGTGAGAGGGGAGAGGGGGAAAGGGGAATGGGGATAGGGAACCCACCTTCTGTCAGGTGAGAGGGGAGAGGGGAATGGGGAGAGGGGAGAGGGGATAGGGAGCCAACCTTCTGTCAGGTGAGAGGGGAGAGGGGAATGGGAGAGGGGATAGGGAGAGGGGAATGGGGATAGGGAGAGGGGATAGGGAGCCCACCTTCTGTCAGGGGAGAGGGGAAACAGGGATGGGGAGAGGGAGCCAACCTTCTGTCAGGTGAGAGGGGAAACAGGGATGGGGAGAGGGAGCCAACCTTCTGTCAGGTGAGAGGGGAAACAGGGATGGGGAGAGGGGAGAGGGAGCCAACATTCTGTCAGGTGAGAGGGGAGAGGGGAATGGGGAGAGGGGATAGGGAGCCAACCTTCTGTCAGGTGAGAGGGGAGAGGGGATAGGGAGAGGGGAATGGGGATAGGGAGAGGGGATAGGGAGCCCACCTTCTGTCAGGTGAGAGGGGAAACAGGGATGGGGAGAGGGGAGAGGGAGCCTGCCTTCTGTCAGGTGAGAGGGGAGAGGGGAATGGGGAGAGGGGATAGGGAGCCCACTTTCTGTCAGGTGAGAGGGGAGAGGGGAGAGGGAGAGGGGATAGGGAGCCAACTTTCTGTCAGGTGAGGGGAAAACAGGGATGGGGAAAGGGGGAGACAGGGATGGGGAGAGGGGAAACATGGGAGTGGGGAGAGGGGATGGCACAGGGAGAGGGGGAAATACAGGAATGGGGAGAGGGGTGGGAAAGGTGGAAACATGGGAATGGGGAGAGGGGATGGGGTGGGAAAGGGGGAAAAGGGAGTGGGAAGAGGAGGAGGGGGTGGGAAAAGAGGAAAAGGGGTTTGGGAGGTTGGGAAGAGGGAGAAAGGGGAAGAGGGAAAAGGGGGGTTGGGAAGAGGGAGAAAGGGGAAAGGGAAGAGGGAGAAAGGAGTTTGGGAAAAGGGGGTTTGGGAGCAGGGAATTGGATTTGGGAAGAGGGGAGGGAGCTGGGGGTGGGGATTTGGGCACGTGGAGGGGTTCGGGGATGGAGGGGGATTTTCCCTCTCCCCCTTTTCCTCTCCCTTTCCCCCCTTTCCTCCCCCTCCCTCCCTCCTTTCCCCCCACCCCCTCTCCCCTGATCCCAGTCCCTGTTTTCCAGCTGGCCTACGGCCAGGACGGGGCCCTGAAGGGCTTTGCTGTCCTGGAACTGGAGTCCCCGGAATGGGCCGAGCGAGTCCAGGAGGCCACGGACGGGATCCCCCTGGCCGGGAACCACATCCGGGTGTCCTTCTGTGCCCCCGGCCCCCCCGGCAGGAGCACCCTGGCCGCCCTCATCGCCGCCCAGGCCACGGTGGGGAGCAGTTCCTGGAATCCCTGGGAATGGGGGAGCCCAGGGAATGGCGGGAATCGAGGGGATGGAGCGTGGGGATTGAGGGAATGTGGGAATTAGGGGATGGTGAGGAGCTGGGAGACCAAAGGAATCCCATCCCTTGGCCGCCCTCATCACTGCCCAGGCCACGGTGGGGAGGAATTCCCGGGAATCCCCAGGAATTGGGGAGCCCGGGGAATGGCAGGAATTGGGGGAATTGAGGGAATATGGGAATTAGGGGATGGTGAGGAACGGGGGAACCAAAGGAATCCCATCCCTTGGCCGCCCTCATCGCCGCCCAGGCCACGGTGGGGAGCAGTTCCTGGAATCCCCGGGAATGGGGGAGCCCAGGGAATGGCAGGAATTGGGGGAATTGAGGGAATATGGGAATTAGGGGATGGTGGGAAACTGGGAGACCAAAGGAATCCCATCCTGGCAGGAGCACCTTGGATGCCCAGGCCACGGTGGGGAGCAGTTCCCAGGAATCCCTGGGAATGGGGGAGCCCAGGGAATGGCGGGAATCGAGGGGATGGAGGGGATGGAGCGTGGGGATTGAGGGAATGTGGGAATTAGGGGATGGTGGGAAACTGGGGAACCAAAGGAATCCCATCCTGGCAGGGGCACCTTGGATGCCCAGGCCACAGTGGGAGTGTCAGCATTCCTGGGAATTGGGGAGCCCGGGGAATTGTGGGAATTCAGGGAGTCTGGGAATGGGGGGAGTCTGGGAATTGGGGGGGCCTGGGAATTAAGGATGCACAAGAATTGGGGAAGCAGAGGGATTGGGGGAAGCAGAGGGATTGGGGGAAGCAGAGGGATTGGGGGAAGCAGAGGGATTGGGGGAAGCAGAGGGATTGGGGAAGGAGAGGAATGAGGGACCTGCAGGGATGGGGGATCAGCTGGAATTAGGGAAGTGCAGGGATTGGAGAACCCCAGGAATTGGGGAACCAGAGAAATGAGGGAACCAAAGGAATTGGGGAGATAAAGGAATTGGGGAGACAAAGGAATTGGGGAACCCCAGGAACTGAGGAATCACAGGAATGAGGGAGACACAGGAATCAGGGAACCAAAGGAATTGGGGAGCCCCGGGATTCCTGGGGGGATCTGGGCCTGGGCTCCTGCTGTTTCTGTGCTCCCAGGGCCGTAATTCCGGGGTTTTTCCCGGTTTTCCAGGCCCTGAACCGCGGGAAGGGGCTGCTTCCCGAGCCCAGCATCCTGCAGATCCTGCAGAGCCTCGGGAATCCCACGTCCCTGCAGCTCCTGCTGCCCGCCCTGCTGCACCCCGGGAAGCAGGGTAAGGAATTCCCGGGAATCCCAGGGGGGAAACTCCCGGGGAGGGGATTCCCGACCCCAGGGGCTTCCTCCCGAGTCTCTTCCCAGCAGGAATTCTGGGAGCTGCCCCTTCCCTGCCCCTGGTGCCCAGCCCGGCCCTTCCCACGGCGCTGCTCCAGCTGGCCCTGCACGGCCATTCCCAGGTAATTCCCACCTGGAATTCCCCCCCCTCAGCCCTGCACGGCCATTCCCAGGTAATTCCCACCTGGAATTCCCCCCCTACAGCCCTGCCAGCCATTCCCGGGGAATTACCACCTGGAATTACCACCACTCAGCCTGCACAGGCAATTTCCCAGACTTACCACCATGGATTCCCCCCCCTCAGCCCTGCACGGCCATTTCCCAGAGTAATTCCCACCGGAATCCCCCCCTCAGCCCTGCACCAGAATTCCCAGGGATTCCCCCCTGGAATTCCCCCCCTATGCCCTGCCAGGCCATTCCAGACTTCCCACCTGGAATTCCCCCCCTTCAGCCCTGCACGGCCATTCCCAGGGAATTCCCACCTGGAATTCCCTGCCCTGGAATTCCCCCCCCTCAGCCCTGCACGGCCATTCCCAGGGAATTCCCACCTGGAATTCTCCCCCCTCAACCCTGCACGGCCGTTCCCAGGTAATTCCCACCGGGAATTCCCAAATCCGGGGTTTTTCCCAGAGAGAAGAGGGAGGGTTGAATCTTCCCGAAGCTTTTCCCAAATCTCTTCCCAAACCTTTTCCCAAACCTCTTCCCAAACCTCTTCCTGCCTGGGTTTTTCCCACCTTTCGGGTGGTTTTTCCCTGTTTTTTTTCTGACCTTTCTCCCAGAAGGGTTTTGGGGTTTTTTGGGGAATTTCAGGGGAATTCCGGAATTCCCCGTTCCTGCGGCTCCAGGATTGGATCCAGCAGGGAAAAAACCAAACCCTTCTCCCACCCCCCCCCTTTTCCCAGTCCCAGCCCTTTTCCCACCGTGGCTTTTCCCGGCTTTTCCCCGCCCTTATCCCGCCTTTTCTGCTTCCAGAAGCCGGGAATTCTGGGCGAGTCCCCGCTGGGCTCCCTCCCCCTGGGCCTGGCCCCGGCCCAGCCCCCCGGGAAGCTCCTGGCAGACATTCCTGCAGGTAAGCCCGGAATTCCACAGGTAATCCTGGAATTCCTGCAGGTAATCCTGGAATTCCTGCAGGTAATCCTGGAATTCCCACAGGTAATCCTGGAATTCCTGCAGGTAAGCCCAGAATTCCCACAGGTGATCCCGGAATTCCCACAGGTAATCCCGGAATTCCCGCAGGTAATCCTGGAATTCCCACAGGTGATCCCGGAATTCCCGCAGGTGATCCCGGAATTCCGGCCCTCGGCAGCCAGGGAATCTCCCCCTGGGCCCGAGGGAATTTCCCCCTTCCCTGGGATTTTTGGAGGGGGGAGGGAGGAGCAGGGGGGGTCTGGGATGGGCTTTTCCAGGTGGGAAGAGGATCCAAGGATCCCTCTCCTTGTTTCCCCCCTCAAACCTCTTCCCGCTGGGATTTTTTTTCCCCATTTTCTGGGTGGTTTTCCCACCTTTTTCCCTGGGAATTCCCTCTTCCCGAGCCTCCAAAAAGGGGGTTTTTTTGGGAATTCTGTCTTCCCACAGCCCCTAAAAGGGGTTGGGGTTTTTTTTGGGAATTCCCTCTTCTTTTGGGGGGAATTCCTTTTCCTTTTTTGGGGAATTCCCTCTTTTTTTCAGGGGGAATTCCTTTTCCTTTTTTCTTGGGAATTCCCTATTCCTGCACCCCCAAAGGGCATTTTTTTTTTTGGAATTCCCGCTTCATTTCTTTTGGGAATTCCCTCTTCCCACAGCCCTGAAAAGGCACATTTTGAGGAATTCCCTCTTCCTTTTTTTTGGGGGGGGGGAATTCCCTGTTCCTTTTTGGGGTTTTTTTTTTCAGAAAAGTCCTTCTGGAATCTTCGGAAAATTTTTGGAAATTTTATTTTTTTTTGGGGGGGGGAGAATTCCTTTGAAATCTTTGGGGGGAATTTTTTTTGGGGGGAAATTCCTTTGGAATCCTTGGGAACTTTTTGGAAATTTTATTTTTTGGGAATTCCTTTGGAAATTTTATTTTTTTGGGGGGGAAATTCCTTTGAAATCCTTGGGAATTTTTCGGAAGTTTTATTTTTTGGGGGGAATTCCTTTGGAGTCTTTGGGAATTTGGCGGGGGGGGAGTTGTTTTTTGGGGGGGTGGAATTCCTTTTCCCCACAAAACCCCCCCGGTTTTCCCGGGAATTCCCTCCTCCTGCCGCCCCGGGATTCGCTCCAGGTGGGAAGTGCAGCCCCTTTTCCCAGGAGAGCCCTTTTCCAAGGCAAAGCCTTGTCCTGTGCCTGCAGGAGGGCCCCTGCCCGGGGACCTGGCGGGGGGCCCCGGCAAATCCCCCGGCATTCCCGCCGGGAACGCGGCCCTGGCGTCCTTCCTGGCCCAGGTGGGGGCGGAGCGGGACAAGCTGGGAACGGGAGCGGGAGCAGCCGGGACCCCCCCGGGACCCCCCCCCGGGCTGGGACACGGAGCTGCCATTCCCAAATCCAAGGGGGAGGTGAGGAGAGCCCCGGGATACGGGGGGGGACGGCTGGGAATGGGGGGTGGGGACACTCTGGGAATATGGGATGGGGACACCCGGGATAGGGGATGGGGACACCCCAAAATATGGGATGGAAATACCCTAAAATATGGGATGGGGACACTCCAAAATATGGGATGGGGACACTCCAAAATATGGGATGGGGACACTCCAAAATATGGGATGGGGACATTCCAAAATACGGGATGGGGACACCCGGGAATCTGGGATAGAAACACCCCAAAATCTGGGATTGGAACACCCCAGAATATGGGATGGGAACACTCCCAGATCTGGGATGGGGACCCTGAAATCTGGGGTGGAAACATTGGGATGGGACTCCCAACTCCAGGACCCCCCAAACCCCCTCAGGGATCCCCCAAACCCCCTTTAGACCCCTCCAGGACCCCCCAAACCCTTTTGGGATCCCCCAAACCCTTTTGGGATCCCCCAAACCCCCTCAATGCCCCCCCAGGTGTCGCTGCTGGGGGAGCCCCCCAAGGAGTTCCAGCTGCCCCTCAACCCCTTCCTGAACCTGCGGAGCCTCCTGCCCGGCCCGGGTGAGAAAACTGGGAAAGGGCCTTTTTTGGGATCCTTCCCCCCCTTCCCAACCCTTCCCTCCCTTCCCAACCCTTCCCAACCCTTCCCAACCCTTCCCAACCCTTCCCAACCCTCCTGCCCGGCCCGGGTGAGAAAACTGGGAAAGGGCCTTTTTTGGGATCATTCCCCCCCTTTCCTCCCTTCCCAGCCCTTCCCAACCCTTCCCAACCCTTCCCAGCCCTTCCCAACCCTTCCTAACCCTTCCCAGCCCTTCCCTCCCTTCCCTCCCTTCCCAACCCTTCCCTCCCTTCCCAGCCCTTCCCGACCCTCCTGCCTTTTCCAGGAGCTGCTTCCAAAGGGTTCCAGGGCAAACCCGGGGCCCTGGGGGGTCCCTCAGCCCCCCCCCGGGTCCCCCCCAGCGACCCCCCCCTGCTGCCCCCCCCCTCCGGAGACGCCTTCGGCTTCGACTTCCAGCCGGTGGGTCGGGAATTTGGGCTGAGATCCAGGGAATTGGGGTGAGATCCAGGGATTTGGGAGTGAGATCCAGGGATTTGGGGTGAGATCCAGGGATTTGGGGTGAGATCCAGGGATTTGGGGTGAGATCCAGGGATTTGGGGTGAGATCCAGGGATTTGGGCTGAGATCCAGGGATTTGGGGTGAGATCCAGGGATTTGGGGTGAGATCCAGGGATTTGGGCTGA